TTTACCTTTTTTTTTAAGCAGCTGACACAGGTTCACAAAGAGGAACACCCAGCTTTGTTGGGAAACGCCCCGCTGAGCTCTGAGGTAGGATGGAGGGGAGTCACATGGATGCTGGGGGAAGGCAGTCAAGAAACATTAAAGGAATGAAGGTAGGATAAGCAGCTTCTGGCAGGAAAGAGCTCTCTACAGCGGCCCCCTCTGTCTTGTCACTAACCTTACACCCGGTGCCCCGCATGCTCTACTCATCTCAGGCTCTAGCACCCCTTTCACATCTTTTGACCACACGGTACCTTGCCTAATCCGTTGCTTCTTTCCATAGATCAAAGAAGTAGAAATGAAGAATAAGTAATTGACAGATGACCAGATCTCTTCCCCAGCTTCCCCTTCAGTAATCTCGCCAACGAACGGTGTGAACAAGACAGCATCCAAAGAACGATCACGAGGAATCAACAAGCCTGCACACACGCCTGCACGCAGTGGGGCATGGCGAGGACTCTGACCCCCTACCTCAATGATTCACTGAGATGACTTCCCTGTTTCCCTTTAAAGGCTTCCATGGTTGAGCAGAATCTTCAGAGGTAGTTTTTGGGGGACGCTGAGTCCACCATCTCCCCAGACTGTCAGCATTCTGATTAAAAGCAACTTTCCTTTCTACCGTTTCTCTCTCACTCTCTCTCCAGTATTAATTTATGAGCGGCAAGCAGCTGGACCCGATTTGGTAACAGTAAAGAGAGGCAAGAAGGATGCTGAGCGTGTGTGTGGGGAGGGTCTCAACGCAGCGGTGTGTGGGTTTGAGGGCTGGCTGTGGGCTATATGGTGAAGCCTCCCTTCTACGTCCTGCAAAATCCGGAACAAAGTCTATGTTGACACTAGTGCTTTTATGCAGATGATGTTTGCGGGGGGACAGACAGGAAGGTAGTGGATATTTCTACATTTTCCCTCTGTGACCTGCCCATACCTCTCTGGGTTCACACGGATACTTTTTCTTATATTTGCAACCCAAACAACTGCTTAACGCGGTCGTTTTTCCCTTCTCTCCCCTTAACAGACCTCTCCTTTATTCCCCTGAGCTGCAAACGCCATCGTTTCCATCCTTCCTTCCCCATGAGATGCTCTTCCAAGCAGAGCAAACGACGAAGCCCAGAGGTGGGCTCTGCGGTCGGCGACACACCGTACAAGCCATGGGACTCCTCTCTGGTTTCATGCCCAGGCTGTCCTCTGGGTCCGCCTCTGTCATGCTTCCACCTGGGAGCCGGCTCTGTGGGGCCTGTCACTGCAGTTATTTCTTCCACAGGGCCTCCGGCTGTTTCCCCTTGTTCTTCCCTCTCTCCGGGCCCCCTGGGAGGCACGGCACACTCGCTTTTTCTACATCCTCACCATGCAGTCCGACTGCCCTTTTCCCCCTTCATCTGGGCCTGGCGTTGCCCTCACTGTTTGTATGAGGTCAGTGAATTCTGGGTACTGTTCCTCTCCCCCTTCCACACAGCTTCCCTCGGTCATTTACCCCCAGGCTCCCGTTTTCCTTCTTTCCCTCCTGCAGTAAACCCTCAGCCACCCTAGAAAGGCCGCTTCTCCCTGGTGGCGCTGTTCCTATTTCCACCCGCCTTAAGGTCCTTATCAAGGTCAATCTGAGTCTCTTTCTTTCCACATTCTGTTTTTATTGTCTGGCTTAACTGATACCAATACACACTTTTTTTTTTTCTTTCCGCCAAAGAGTTGCAGGAAGTAGATTCTTCCGCAGAGCCATCCTGTGCCCTGAAGCAAGGGGCGTCCGTCTAGTGATTCAAATCAAGTGTGAGGGACTCCCAGTGGTTACGACTCTGCCTTCCAATGCAGGGGGTGCGAATCTGATCCCTGGCCGGGGAGCTAATAGGATCCCACATGCCTTGCGGCCATAAAACCAACACATAAAACAGAAGCCATTAAAAAAAAACACAAAAAAACAGAAGCCATATTGTAACAACTTCAATAAAGACTTTAAAAATGGCCCACGTCAAAAAAAAAAAAATCTTAAAAACAACAATATCAAATAAAGTGTGAGCTTAACACCCATGAGGATGGCTATTATTTAAAAAAAAGGAAAATAACAAGTGTTGGCGAGGACGTGGGGGTGGGGAGGATGTAAAAAGGTATGGCTACCATGGAAACCGGTATGGTGGTTCCTCAAAAAAGTTGAACATAGAATTACCATATGATCCAGCAATGCCACTTCTGGGCATATACCCCAAAGAACTGAAAGCAGGGACCCAAACACTTGCACACTCACGTTCACAGCAGCGCTCTTCACAATAGCCAAAAGGTGGAAACAATCCAAATGTCCATCAACAGATGAATGGGTAAATAAAACGTGGTCCATGCACATAATGAAATACTATTCAGCCTTACAGAGGAATGAAATCCTGACACATGCTACACTGGACAAATCCTGAAGGCATATGCCAAGTGAAATAAGCCATACACAAAATTCAGACAAATACTGCATGATTCCACGTACATCAATGAGGTACCTCGAATAGTCAAATTCATAGAGACAGAAAGTAGAAGAGAGGTTGCTGGGGCTAAGGAAGGTGGGGGGGGCGACAGGGAGCTAGAGCTTAATGGGTAGAGTTTCTGTTTTGGGGGATAAGGAAAAAGCTCTGGAAATGGGTGGCTGCACAATACTGTGGATGTACGCAATGCTAGTTAACTGTACACCTAAAAATGGCTAAACTGGTAAGTTACATGTTATATGTATCTTACCACAATTTAAAACAAACAAAAAAAACGTTCAAGGTTGTGTGAGCAAAACCCAAGCCAAAAAACCACAAGTGACTGTGAAGCTACGGCCAGCATGTGGTTCCTCAGGGCCACCTCTGTCCTCAGGCAGCCCTGGGTCATCTCGGCTGTGACGACACTCTGCCAGCTCTGAACCAAATCTGACACGGCTGTCACTGGCCCTGGAATTACCACAGAGGCCGCAGATCCCGCCGGGCGGCTTCTCCCAGGATCAAGGAGCCACATTTCCATAACCCACTCACCGCAAGAACAGGACTGCCCATCCCTTGATGCCACCTGAGTAACAAACTGGACTCTGAGTTGTCTTATGATCTCCCCCGCCTCTTTTGGAGACTGTGCATGTGCCTTTAGTGACTCCTGAAGGGCCCTTCCTCGTGGGGACATGTGGTCCCCACCATGACTCCTGGGTGGTGAAGGTCACAGGTGAGGATCTGTTATCACCAAGTGTATCTTCCTTGCCAAAGTAAAACTCCCCAGCATGGTGACTGTCCTATCGCCAAAACCGGTGCCCACCATCTTTCCAGTCCTCAGGCCATGGGCTTGACGGTTGGGGTCTAGCTCCTCTCTTCCTGGCGGCTCCCACACTTACCCTCTAAGTTGTGCTGAGTTTCTTGCATGCTGGCCTCTCCATCCTGCCTCCGCTCTCTTCCCCTCGAGGCCTCTCCCAGGTACCTCTACAGCTTCCGCTGCCCTCGGCCTCTAACGACTTTAGCGACTGTTGTTAGTCATCCCGTACGTAGCCTCGGCGCACACCCAGTCATTTTCATGAACTGTACGTGTGCACACAGCATCCCCCAGCTGCCCTCCCAGCACAACTACCAGCTCTTCCCTCAAGTCCAAGTGCTCGCAATGAGCCACAGTCAGCTCACACTGGCCTTCCCTTCTCCCACGTGTCACCTCCCAACCCACTCCCAGCTCATGACTCCCGGGAGTCTTCTCTGAGCAACACGACGGAACATTCCACTCATGTTTATATCCCAGGACTGCTCTGAGGCCGGAGCACGTGCTCAGGCATCTCTGTCCAAAGAGCGAATCCCACCGCATTCTCGTCCTCTCAGCAAGGTCTATTCTACCCTTGAACCAGTAGCCTGCTGACTGTCGGTAGTGCTCATCCTTAGACCCATTTCTACACCACTGGGGCTCCCACTCTTTAAGAACTGTTTCTCTTCTGGCTTCCTCTTCTAGCCTAGGGATCAAGGACTGATATCTAATTTGCAGTTGGTATCAGTACGTGCAGATATAGCTGGTCCACTTAGACCGATGTGTATCATCCTGCATCCCCTTCGTGCATGGTATATACACTGTGTCGCTTACTGCTTCCTTGGACAGCTCGTACCTGGACGTCCCCAGGGAAGGGGAATAACTATCCTGACGGAAGCAGAAGCTGGTGTTCTCTGGCCACAGCTCTCAGGGGTGGGAGCCTGGGGAAGGGACTGCTCGCTCTGCCAACAGAAGGCTTTAGGAGTCCCCCAGTGCCCCATGGATTCTGTCTTATTTGAATCCCAGTGTCTGGGTGAGAGCCCTGTGCTGTGTCCCAAAAGGCCACAGACACATTGGACTCGTGTTTCCTGCTGTCAGATTCCCGATGGGCTTCCGGGTGTATTACAGTCAATGAACCTAACTAAGCGGCATCTCAGAGCCACTTGCTCCGCCTGGCCTCCTGTTTGCTTAAAAGTGGCACCTGGAGAAGAGCCGGCTTCATCTCACTTCAGCTCCCGCAGCGTGAAGACAACTACACTCCTCAGAGAAATGAACATGGCGGGAGGCGGCTGGCACCTTTCTTCCCTTTCCTCCCCAAAGGAGCGTATGATGAACGCGGTGCACGGTTCGATGCTGCACTCCCGACAGCGCCCCTGTCAAAATACCTGATGCTGTTTAACCTCAAAGTCACTGGATCAGGCAGGAAAACTATGATGGATCTCACGGTTCAACTCCCTCTCGCTTGCTGGTGTGACAACGGAGCTAAAGGGAGTTGAGATGAATATGGGTCTATTTTTGGCGACTCCTCACGGAATCCACACACTGTGTATTCTGCATCCACTGGATGCTCAGGCACGCTCTGAACTCTGCAGCAAACGCTCGTTTGTAAATGTTATAGCCGCCAGTGTTGGCTGGATGCTCTATGGGGCGACGCATTTGCTCTCGTGAGGCTGCTTTGAGCATGGGGGGGCACGGTTTGGAGCTGAGCGTTGGTCAGAGGGCCAGGCCAGCTTGCGCGTGCTTACCTTCACCCTGTCCATGCAGGCCTCCATCTTCAGCTGCTCCACAGCTTTCCTGGCTTGGGAGATGCTGGCAGTGCTGTTACTGGACATGGCTTCTTTCATTCTGCTGCCCCTGAAACAACCAAAGTTCAGGGGTTGAAAGAGCCGCTTCTCCAAAGTCAGGCAGAACCCCCCCTCAGCTTTCTCGCCTCCTACCCGCTGCAGCTTCTCTTTCCAGGCCAGGGAGCCATGGGAGCAGACCCTCCTGGGATAAGAGGAAGGAGTGAGGGAGCAAGCCATCAGGCTCCTGTTTGTCAGACTTTCTCAGCCCCAGCGAGAGGAAGTAGAAGATAACAGATGGTCCCAGAGTCACGTTACCACCCCCACAGCCATAAGTAATACCTTGACATTTGTACGGTGCTTTGTTAGTAATAAATCGTTTTCATACACATTTGTTCACGCACTCCTCTAGCAGCCCTGAAAGTTGGCAAAATAGACTGAGTTTTGTTTTACAAGTAAAGAAAGTGCAGAACTCAGAGAAATGAAGCCAAGAGTCAAAGGCCCCACAGCCAAACTCTGTGGACCCAGAACGCAAACGCAAAGCGTTGAAGCCTAGCTGAGGGTTCTTTCCACTCTCTCACATGGTGTCCTCTAGCCGGCTACACTGCCAAGTGCAAGTTTCCCCTGAATGAGCTGGCTTTATTATTCTTTTTCAAAAATTAGTTTATTTATTTGGCCACGCCATGCAGCCCGTTGGATCTTACTTCCCTGACCGGGGATCCAACCCGCACCCCCTGCAGTGGAAGCAGGGAGTCTTAACCACTGGACCTCCAGGTAAGTCCCGCTTTATTATTCGTTTTAATCTGCTGTCATTCCAAAACGTTTACAAACTTTATGTTGGGAGTTCGTTTTTAAACGAGAACACATACAAACACATACACACCTATCCCAAGCATAGATTTGTTTCTCTAGAAGGGGGAAGAAATTCTTCCTAACCCAACATGTCATTCTGCCAGAAGACCCCTGTGATGCTAACTGCTCCACAGCAAAGCACATGCCGTAGGTTACCGTTACCGCATCTAACGAGAAAGTACCCAGAGGAGGTCTACTCGGGCTAGCCCGAGAGCTGGAGGTGGGTCTCCCAGGCACCAACGGTTTTCAGCAGTGCAAGGTGAGGCGGCAGGAGGCTAGGCCGGTCCCGTGGTGGGCAGGCCACACTCTGGCTTTTCTCATTCGCACTGACTCTCTGGCCCAGATGAGGCCTGATGGCAACTTCATCTGTCCACAGGCAATGCTCGAAAAATAAAACTTTCTTCTTCTAAGTCAGAGCAGCCACCAAAACCACAGTGTAACAGGTGTGTGTTCCTATCTTGGTTGGTAACTTTTATTTCCCAGGAAGGGAAGGAGAAGCATGAGCAGTTGAGGATTTTGCAACCCGGGGGAGCAGCCGCCTAGCCCCGCACTCTACAGAGATGCGCGTGCAATTCTGCGTGTGTGCTCAGGGCTGTGGCCCTGGTGCCCAGGTGCCCGAAGGGCATGCCCTCTGCCAGCCTGTGTGTGCAGGGCGGCCCGTCCGCGCATGTGTGTGCTTACATGTCCCTGTGTCCACACAAAAGGAAGGAGAAGACGCAGTGCACCTCCCAAGCCTCCTCAGCCTGACCGACAAGTGAAAAAGGGCCCTGAGATGACTGTCCTCAGATTCCCACTGTCCAGCCCCGTTCCTGAAATCACCCCTCTCTTCCCTCATCACTGACTTGGGGGGTTCAGGAGTTGAGGAGGTGGAGGGGTGGCAGGGACCAGGGGGGCTTCGCGAGAGGAAGCTGAGCCCGGGGTCAGCAGAAGTGAAGAAAGGAAGATCCGGGGGAAGGGAGTGGGGGGAAGGAATCTGAATTGCATGTGGGTGTGTGCGAGTATATGTGTGAGTCAGGGTGGGTGTGAGAGTGCGTGTGTGTGAGGGTGGGTGTTAGTGTGTGTGTGCGTGAGGGTGGGTGTTAGTGCGTGAGGGTGGGTGTTAGTGTGTGTGTCTGTGTGTGAGGGTGTGTGTGTGTGAGGGTGGGTGTTAGTGTGTGTGTGTGTATGAGTGAGGGTGGGTGTTAGTGTGTGAGTGTGTGTGAGGGTGGATATGTGTGAGTGTGTTACTGTGTGTTTATGAGTGTAAGGGTGGGTGTTAGTGTGCATGTGTGTGAGGGTAGGTGTGAGGGTGGGTGTTTGAGTGTGTGAGGGTGGGTGTGAGTGTGTGAGGGTGTGTGTGTGTCAGTGTGTGTCTGTGAGTGAGGGTGTGTGTGTGTGAGGGTAGGTGTGAGTGTGGGTGTGAGGGTGGGTATTAGTCTGTGTGAGGGGGGGTGTGTGTGTGTGAGGGTGTGTGTGTGAGGGTGTGTGTGAGGGTGGGTGTGTATGAGGGTGGGTGTGTGAGGGTGGGTGTTAGTTTGAGTGTGTGTATGAGAGGGTGGGTGTTAGTGTGTGAGTGGGTGTGAGGGGTTGTGTGTTTGAGGGTGTGTGCGTGTTTGTGAGAGTGTGTGAGTGAGGGTGGGTGTGAGCGTATAGAAAACGTTACCTGCAGAACCGGATCCCCGTCCGTCCCCCTGGAACCGCCCTCTCCTTCCCCGCCACCCCGGGACTGGCCCTGACCCTGCTCCGCCGCTTTCTCATCCCTCCCCTGGTCACAGAGAAAGGGCACATTTTCAACCCTCTCCTCGACACAGAGCGAGAAGTCTGGCCAAATGCTTAATATTGGACAAAGGGCCTTTTCCGTTTCGTGTCCGAGAGATAAAATAAGCAGGTGGGGTGGGCCCAGCACCTGGCGCCGCGTGTCTTCTACCTCCTGTGCCCCCCCCCCGTGGGCCCC